AACAAAAACACCCAAATTTAAAAAAAAGTTAATCTCAAAACGTTACATTGCTCAGAGCAATAGTTCATAAAATACTTTATTGAAATAAAGTAAATATCTTCGCATTAATAAAACTGATCATAAAATGCAGTTTTCGAATAACTAGGGGCACCACAGGGTTTTAGACAGCGAGTAGATGTGGAAGGTGGGATCCAGTGTCCTCCTGGCCCCTCGGACCGTCCCACAACGCAGCGGCCGTGGCGTAGCGCAGCGCTCCGCGGGCGCGGAGAGGGGCGGCGGGGCGGGGGAGACCGGGATGCTGCCGGTCAAAGCCTCCAAATCTTCCGCGGCCGAAGGCGGCCGCAGCCACTGTCCGAACTGCCCTCCATCCTCTTGCCCGGGCCCGGCGGGGACATGCGGGGCCCCCGCGGGCAGCGCCCGGGAGCGGCCGGGGCCGGCGGCGGGGCGGACATCCGCCCTCACTCCTCCTGGCTGACCTCGGCCTGGGAGCCCAGGCTCTCGGGCGGCTTCTCGGCGTCCCGGGCGCGCTCCTGCTCCGAGAGCTGCTCGCTGCTGGGGATCGAGTTCTTCTTCGGGCGGCCCTTGGGCTTGGTGGGGGACTCCAGGCCGCCCCCCTGCAACACCTGCGAGGCGGGGAGGGAGGAGGAGGAGGGAGACACCCCAGTAAAACAGTGCTGCCATAAGCCCGGGACGCAGGAACCCCTCTCTCTCCTGTCCCCGGAGCGGAGCATCGCGCCGGGCCCTGGMTGCGGCTGCCGGCGCGGGTCCTCTCGGGCTGCGCCCACCGCCCTCCGCCCCCGGGGRGCGAGCAATAYAGAGGGAGGGCTCGGACAGGAGCGGGCGGGGTGGTCCGACCGAGGCGCAGGAGATGCTGGACCAGGGGCATATTATTATCACCACCATCATCATTATCCTTCATGTTATCATTAACAGCCCAGGGCCGATATGCAGAAGGACGAAGGCCGCAGAGCAGCCATCGAACGCGGACACGGCGTGCTCAAGGGGAACACTGTTAAGGGACACTTACTATTTTCTTCCATTTCATGCGCCTGTTCTGGTACCAGGTTTTCACCTGGAGCTGGCTGAGCCCCAGTGATTCGGCCAGGTCTATTCTGCGGGCGAGAAAGAGAGGAGGTCAGGCCGGCAGCTTTCCTTTCGGTTGGCAGCTTCCCGACYTTTTCGGGCAAAATGATCCCCGCGCCGCCTCACGCCCCGGGTCCAAGGTCGTCAGTCTCCTACCTGTCGGGTGTGGAGAGGTATTTCTGCTTCTCGAAGCGCTTCTCCAGCCCCATGAGCTGCAGCTCGGTGAAGACGGTGCGGCTGCGGCGACCCTTCTTGGCCTTGCCCGGCTCCGGGGGCCCCGGCTCCAGCTTCCCGCGGAGGTGCAGCTCCAGCGGGAGATGGGACGAGGCGGAGCCGCCCTGCAGCCCTGAGCCGGCGGCCAGCAGCGCCGAGCCCAGCCCCGAGCAGCCCAGGGGAGCCAGCGGGAACTTGAACACGGCGGCCGGCTCCGCCTTCAGCACCGCTGCGGGAGAGAGCGGCTGTCAGCGCCGGGCAGCGCTCAGGGATCCCCGGGGCTGCAGGGTGCCTCGGTTTCCCGGGGACTGCCCTGCAAGGAACCCTGGCCCCTTCTCCTCCATTCTCAGCACCTCCGTGGGTCCTGAGTACCCCCGATTCCGCCACCTTCGCTGTAACAGGGACACGTTTTACTCTTCAGCCAGCAGAAGCTAATCACTGAGTTACTTGAGGGTTACGAGTGAAAATAATTCAAACCAACCCAAAAGCGTTCCTCTCGGTGTCACCCAGCAGCTGCCGGACGCGGCTGAACGCGGCGAGCAGCGGGGGCCGGGCAGGGTCCCAGGATTCCCTTCCTAAAAACTTTCAGGATATTTTCGACCTGATAATAATTTCTATCTCTCTCCGTGAACCGCAGCCTATGAAGRAGCATCCAGGGACAGGACAGCGAGCCATCCCCGAGGATGCTGCTCCCCCCTGGCTAGGGCCGCCTCTCGGCCGGCTCGATTCACTTTTCCCCGATCCAGCCCGGCACTGCTCGGCTCGGTTCCCTCGCCCGGCTCGGTCYGGCCCGGCTGGGTCCTGCCCGGCGCTCCCGCTCCTCTCCCTGGCCGGGGCCCGCGGGTGGGACGGGAGCTTCGGTCCTGCTCGGCCTGTCCTCCCAGCCAGAGACACAGGAGCGGCATCGGCGGCGGGGGAAGGACTTTTAAGGGAGACTCTGCGGGCTCTTCTTTTCGGCCTGTGCTTAAATCGCCTYCCTCCGTGCAGGGCCCGATCCTGCTCCCGCTTATCCCTGCGGAACTGAGCCGCGATGGATGTAAAGAGTCTTTTATCTGATCCGCTACTCCGAGTAGTTCTGAATAGTTCATCTTGAAAATAATACTAATTTCTAGATATTCTAAAGCATGTTGCTTCCTTTCTCAGGGAGCTTTCCTCTTTCTCTTAAAAGCAGAAAAAGAAATTGGGAGACTCCTTTTCTGTTCACCTCTATGAATAAAGAACTACGACTCCGCAGATGAAGATGGCTTGGGAAATGAAAGCTTTAGCCACTGCACATTAAAATATTGGCCTTTAAAACATATTAAGTAATGGCCTTTTAAATAAATTAGACACTAGCATTTAAAAAAAAACAAACCAAAACAAAAAAACCCTAATCAAAAACCAAACAATAACAATAAAACCAAAAACAATTTTTAAAAAACGCCCCTATGTGACTATATTAGTAAACTGGATTTGTCCTGTATGCTATATCTGACTGGACAGAGAATGCTGGCAGCCGTTTTTAGAAAAGCTCCAAACACGTATTATAATATGGACTACAATGTTACATCTTCTATGTTCTATATTATTATTGTAATAACATAACATATATTTATATATTACATATAATATATCTTTATATTAAATATATAATATCTCTTTATATTAAATATTTTTATGTTCACACATATGTCGGGTTTCCAGCTAAATCCGTTATCGCAGGGCCTCTTGCCGCCTCTCGCAGCCACGCACGGACCCCACTGCGTAGCTCCAGCAATTCTCACCTCATTCGAAAACACGGAGAAAAAAAACYCAAATCAAAACTACCAACGACACCTTTCCTCCCTGAAATTCAAAGGCCATTCTGTGCAAGGGCCGTTGGAGCCGTAAAGCCACTTTCTTCGGTTTTAGGCCCAAAATACTCGGCTGCTCACGGTTGGAGCGCCCGCGGCACGGCGGGAGCCGGCTGGGATGCGCATGGCCGGCAGAGCCCGGCAGCAAGTTTTTTAGGCAGAATTCGTATTTTCTTCTCCAAGGAAGCCGGCTCCCAAAGGAGCTGGAGACCTTCAGCGGGCGATGCCTGCCCGCCTGCCGCCCCCAGCCCGCACCCCCAGCCGCGGGGAGCCCCCGGGACGTACCGAGGTGGTTGTGGTAGGGCCGGGCGGAGAGCAGCGCCTGCACCCCGAACTTCAGCAGCTCCCCGGCCGGTGCGGCCCCCTTGGCGTCCGGGGGGTCGGTGAGGATCTCCTCGATCATGAAACTGCGATAGCGGTGGGAGCGGTGGTCGGGGAACGCTTCGGCCGGGAAGTAGCGAGCGGCGCCCAATTCCAGCGGGTGCTGCATCCTCGCCGCCCCCGGGGCGCGGGGRGATCCCCGGCCGCCGGGGCCGCCCTAGCGCAGCCCCCCGGCCGGCAGCCGGGCAGCGGGGGCACTGCCCATCGCCCCGCCGCGCCCTCCCCTGTCCCTGCGCGGCCCCGCAGCGCCCTGAGCAGMGCGGCGGCCCGGAGCCGTCCCCGCCGCCTGCACACGGGGCGCGGCACCGGGCAGAGTCTGTCTCTCCGCCCCGGGACGGCGGCAGTGTCCTATTATACGGCCGGCCCCGGCGGAGCCGTCAGCGCGGCGGGGGAGGGCGCGGGAGGGGCTGCGGAGGAAGGAAGGGGCTGGGGCGGGCGAGTACCTGAAGCGGGGGGTTACAGCCCGGCACTTGATCCCCCACCATATAAAGCAAATTACCCGTCCTGCTCGCTGCGGGAGAGCAGACACCCACCCAAACAACCGCGGCCCCTTCGAAGCGCAATCCCGGCCCCGGCCCCTGCCCAATCCTTGTGATCATCCCGGTCCCTGTCTCCGTCGCCATACTCATCGGCATCCCCGTTACCGTTCCGTTCCAATCCCCTTTTCCATTCCTGTCCCCGTCCCCCTACTGGGTAACCGGGGCCCTGAGGCGCCTCGACTGATGGAAGGAGACACGGAGATACACGGACCTTCGGGGGACCCCAGACTCCCGGCCCCGGCCCGCACGTCCCCTGTCCCGAAGCACCGGCGGCTCGGAGCCCTCAGGGCAGCCCCGGTGCGGTCACCAAGGGCCCGGGGCCCCGAGAAGCGGAGCAGCCCGAGGGCAGACGGGGGCCGCGCTGACGGCCGGGGCTGCCCATCGAGGGGCCCAGGCCCGATGCCCTCAGCTCRGGCCTCTCTCCCGGCCTCGGCCAAATTTTTGTAAACATCTAAAGGGAGCTGCTCAGGGAACAAAACCCAGCACGAAGCAGAGCCTTTTCCTCGACTTTTTGATCATTTRCGTGGACGCTTTGCTCGGTACAACGTGATTAATTTAATTCCGTTTAGCCTGTGTCACGCACGGCAGAAGAGACCCACGACCCAGCYCTGCTCGCTACTGAGGCTCTTCGACCCAGATTCGTGCGCGGGAGCCCGAATGCTCAAATCCCTCCAGAAAATGTCGGCACTAATGGATTACAGGGGGATAATTTCGGCGAAGCCCCGGCAGCCCGACCGGCGGGGTCCCACGGCGCTGGGGTGGCTTTGGCTGCTCTCGGCCCCAGCCCACGGCGGGAGAGGCGCTGCACACGCGTGGCCGTGCCTGGGTGGTGTTCACGGGAGGTATCCACGGGCTCAGCCATCGGTCCCACGCAGAGGGACAGGAGCCCGGCTCATACTCGGGGCAAGGGAAGCTCAACCTCCTTCTTTATGATTTTTGACCAAAAATAGAGGATTCTGCCCGTTTTCCCAGCTGCTGCGGGGGATGCGCAGGGGAGAGCAGARCAGCCACGGGATCTTTCCCGACTCCTTTTCGTACGCCCTAAGCAAGATGGGACGGCCACGGGAGTCACCCGCGGGTGCCGTCACTGAGCTCAGCCGACGGGTGGAGATGTCCCAGCACTTGGCCGCCTTCGGGGCCCGAGTGTCCGGCCAGATTCCCCCGGTCCTGGGCTCCCCCGCGCCGTCCGGGCTCCAGCGCTTCTCGGGGGTCCCCAACCGGCTTCACGCGTGGGGGGACACGCAGCCAGGACCAGCGAAACACAAAGCCAGCCAACAGTCCCGGGGGCCTTCGCATCCGGAGGCAGATGGGGCTGCAGGGACCCCCGGCCCATCGGGACCCCAGCCCGGTAATTTGAATTAAATATTGAGGAAGGGGAAGGTAGAAGCGTRAAGGGAACTGAGGAGAGCACAAGGCCGCCCTGCTGCTCCTGTCAGCGCTGTTTGAGTCCTGCTGCCGTTTCACTGTGCTACTCACCCCTGCATGCGACAACAACGAATTAATTTATRCTCTGTATTTCACTGCCTTCCCACATAACTTGTTCCATATGGTTACTGCGTCTTGTACGGAGCAGTTCTGCGCGGGTTTGTTCTGGTTTCTCCACGTTTCTTTTATTTCAAATTACGCCCCGCGCTCTGTGAAACACTGACAGGCTGAACCCCCGTTAGCTCCCCGGGTCCTCCCTGCTGTTAGCGGGTTGTCATTTATTCAGACATCACCTCGGTGTATGCACCGCCAACGAGTTKGTGACACACGGCAGAGCGGGGGCTGTGACCGGGAGCTGGCGGTCCCCTCCCGGTGGGGCAGCAGCGGCCACCGGCAGCACCAAGCCCTCCGAGATGCTGCGCGGCACCGGGGCTGGGCGCCTCCATCCCTCCGTCCCTACCCCACTTTCCCTAATTTCTCCTGGGAATCTCGGGACAGCAGTGTCCCTGCGCACACCTGCGCCGCGGGGTGCCCCGACTGAGACTAACGGTGCCCCAAAAATAATCACAAACCCCAAATCAAACCCCTCCCCTTTTCCTGACGTGAYTTCTCGTCTGCCCATCTTTTGTCCATCAGCTCTGTTTAGATCACAAGGTGCTGCCATGTCAAGGTGCTGATTTCTTACGGACGAGGCGAAAGAGGGCGTTGGAGCGATTATCATGAACAAGGAGAATAATTATGAGTAAAGTGAGAAGAATTTTGGCCACATTCAAGCGAGCAGGCAAATCCACATCAGATTGTTTAAACAABCTCACCCCCGAGACCAGCGCACTCATAAACAAGTAGTGTACGTAAAAGAAATTACCTCCCTTGAGTTTGCTGTTTCCTTAAAAKAAATCAAAACTCAAGAATAACTGTAAATAATAACACTTCCATCTCCATCTCGAAGCAGGTTAGGATCAGAGCAGAGCCGATATMATTTCCCATCAAACGGCATCACCTTTGATAATTTAAGTTTTTCTATTCTTTGGGATCCATCTGCCCCGAGGCTGCACATGACAGCAGCCGCAGCCTGGCAGGCACGGACGGTCGGCAGATTGCACATCCACGCCGGGAGCAGGCCTACAG